CAAACTCTAAAAGTTAACTAAAGTTATGATAATAAAAGTTAACATCACTCATTGTCATTTGGAAAACGTCTGCAAAATAAACTAATTTAAATGCGAAAATTCTTTAAATTTAAAAGCATGTTGAATGATAAATCTCTTCACATAAATAAGTTACAATATTTTTACCAAAACCTGCATTAATATTTTATTATATTGTAGTGTGACGCTAAATTTGAGTTTTTCTGTTCTCACAGATTCACCAAGAAACATCAAAATACAGGGCGTGACCTCTGTAAAAGTGGGCACTCCACTGACTTTGACATGCTCTGCTGATAGTGACCCTCCACCACACATGTACACATGGAAGCACAAACCTGGACTGTCTTCTGTCCCATTATCAATGGAAACTGGACAGTTATACATTAAGAAAATGACCATTCAACATGCAGGGCAGTACACTTGTGATGTTACCAACACTATTGGCACAGGATCACACACCATTAAAGTTGATGTGCTTTGTAAGTCTGATTCGCTCTAAAATCTATATCTTAACTGGTCAAAGTTAATGATTTCACGAATAGCCAAATCATTTTTGTCACTTTTTCTTTTGAACTCTGCAGATCCTCCATCTAATCTCAGTTTGATCACGAAGAAGGAAGTGAGAGAGTTTGAAGTGATCTCCATTATCTGCACGGTTCAAAGCTGTCCTGACTCACACCTCACAGTGACAGGACCTCAGGGTGATCTGAAAGATATTCAGAACAATCGAAGGAACAGCACTGCATCTGCAAACATGTTGACTGTCTACATGAATGTCTCTGAGTCAGATGCAGGAATGTACACATGCAAAGCAAAAAATTCAGAGGGAGATCGAGAAACTAAACAAGAGCTAATTGTGTTGCGTAAGTAATCAATCAAAATTGAAATATGTAAAATTATTTAAAATATGTCAAGGACTTGAGATGCTTTAATTTACTTTAAAGTAACCAAACCAAAACTAAAAAAAACTCAAATAATTTGGATTTCATCTTCTTATGTATCATGTCTATGCAGATGCATCTAAAAATGTGAGTGTAAGTTCTAAAGGAGAACAAACATTTGGGAGTGAGCTGACCCTTACATGTGAGGCTCACTCCAAACCTGCTCCATCCTCATATGAGTGGAAGAAACGCTTTAATGGGGCGAGAGATACAGTCGGACATAAACGGGAACTACAATTTAACTATCTGGAAATCACTGATTCTGGTCAGTACGTCTGTATTGCTCATAATTCCATTGGAAAAACAGAATCCCCATCTGTAGAGATCAAGGTCAAGTGTGAGTACTCTTTTCTACTAGTTACACACTTCAGCTTTTAGAGGCAAAAATGTTCTTCATCTTTGAAATTGGACTTTACTGACAGATATGAGATTGTCCAATGTTTTTTTGTTATCCTAAATAGTCTAAGTTTGTCA